GGTTGCGGGGTTGGGTTGTTCCGCGTGAGGTTGGTCGTCGGCGCGAAGGGTGAGGTCTCGACCGCCGCCGCTCACGCCAGCGGACGGCCACCATCGGTGTTTTTGGCTTCGCCACCGTCCAAAGCGTGCGCAATGCGCTCGCCGGCATCGAGCGAGCACGCCTGTCCGACGAGCGGCTTGCTGTGCGGACGCCTTCTTGTGGTATGTCTGTTTTCTTTCTTTCTGAGGGCCCAACAACATACCTAAAAACGAGGGATAGGGGAGGAGGACAGGGTCCACACCTGCACGAGCAGGATTTTGGAAGGACGGTCAGGGGGACAGGTGGGGCTCTCCTGCTCCTGACAAGGGACACACACGACAGGCTCGCAGCGCGGTGCACGGTGGAATCCCAACTCCACTGGCGGTCTCATCTCAGTCTATAAATAGAGCAGTCATCTCCAGGGAGAGATGGGCGACGCACACGAACACAGAGGGACTCATCTCAGTCTTAAAGAGCACCTGCGAACAATTTCTCGCCCGCACCTCTCGGCGACGGCCATCCAGCCGCCATAATCAACAGCGAGCAATGGGCCTCTTTGGCAGCGACTCGCCTTCGAAGAAGGAGGAGACGGCGCCGCTCGTGACGCCCGAGAAGGAGGGGCTCCGCCAGCGGAGGAAATCTCCCTTCACAAAGGCCGACGAGGAGAAGAAGGACAAGATTGACCAGCTCGTGCTTGCAGCGTCAGACAAGGTGTCGCCGCAGGTGGCCGAGTGGCTCAAGAAGGCGGCGCCGGCGATCCGAGCCATCTCTCAGGCGCCGCCATCGCCAGGCGCGCTTGGGCGCGTCGGCCGCGCTGATGCATCCATATCGCCGGCGGCCGCAGGCCATCGCAACGATCGCACCATTCTACATCATGGCGGCGAAGAAGCTGTACGAGATCGGCAACAAGCTGCCCTGGGACATTCTGCAGGCCGTCATCGGCCTCGGCCTCTGCTTTTTCGGCGGCGGTTATTGCGCCTCGATTGCCGCCGTCGAGGCGCGGCGCGGAGCAGAGCCCTCGGATCTCTCCGCCCCTCCCTCCATCG